TTGCAAGTAAAAAAAACACAATTTACTATTGAATCAAAAAATTCAAAAACTAGACCAACTTTATAACTACTTTCAGTGTTAAAATAAGCTAGACTATTTTACATCATAAATTATTAAAAAAAAAAGCTGTCTATCAGTGCGAAGTAGTTAGAAAACGCTTTCAATATGTACCTGTGACATCATAGAAGTCAGGTTTGTATGTCTCTCCGGAGGGGTCGGTCTTGTCTTGCGAGAGCCAGCGTATCTTGATCTTGCGCGTGGTCCGGTACACATTCTGCACCGTTTGGCACACGTAGAAACCGCCTTCCGCGTTACGTACGGCTAGGTACTCGTTCCTGGTAACCAGTTAAAGAAGTTAATGGATATCTCACAAGAAGACTTACAACTCTTAAGAGATTTATTAAGATACTAAATGTCGCCCGCGGCTGTGTATAAAAAGAACTTATTTAGTAGCCTATGTGTTCTTCCAGGCTATGTTCTACATCTATCCAAATTTCAGCTATATTCATGCAGCCCTTCTGATAATACCTTGTAACAAACATCCAACCATCTATCCAATCATTAGCATTTTTAATATTAGTAAGATGTAACGTTTTTCGTCAACTTGCTCTCATATTATTAGAAATTGCTTCATAGTCGAAGATAGAAAAACTATTAAGTTAAACTAAAAATTAAATTAATTACTCATGTTATATGCATAGAAATCAAGCTAAGTTTTTGTATAAATACCAAAATAAGAGATAAAAAGCACTAAAGGACAAATTAATCCTGTTAAACCCTGTCTATTTTCTTTCATTGTTCACAACTCATAACTAAAGCATATTTTAAAGATATGTAATTTTTGTAAACAGACTTACTTGTAAAAAACAATAAGCTTATCATCATTAGGCTTAGTGGGTGTAGAGCGGCCAGCAGATGCTGATAGTTTGGTAGCCATTGCGATCTCCGGCGTTGGTGATTGATACAATTGCACCTGGAATTACAACAAACACATAAATTTATGACTATTGTATAATCATAAGTTTATAGTTGTAACAATTAGTTAACCTTAATTTAAAAAAAAACAACTGATTGAGGCTACAATAGATTAGCACCATCTATTGCCTACTTATTAAGCTAAGTTTTTTACTGTAACATTGTATTTAATGTTTTCTTATCTTAGAATATATGTTAAAGAAAGAAAGCTAAGTAGAAAAAGTTATGCCAAGTGAGATTCTATCATTTAATTTAGAATTTTATTCCTTTGTCCACAAGTGGCATGTGCCAATATTGTTTACTTTATCATACTCCGGGAAAGAAGTCAAATCAAATGACATTCTGTTTGTTCCAATCTGTTTAGTAATTTGGGCTAGAACCTAATATCTTACGCTAGAGCATATTTTTTATATAAAGACCCAAATAAGAACATTACCCTCTTGTCAATAGGATACAAATAGTTCAAGTAAAAATATATTTAATAAGTCCAATGAACTTAAGAATAACTGTTATTTATAAAGTTCATAAAAAAGCAAAATAAGACCACAAAATTCAGAACTACATTTATTATTATTACCGATTATTTTGACCTTGATATAACTGTTATTCATCTGCACATAAAAATTTATCCTTGTAAACATGACTTCATTGAATTCTGCAGCATCATTTCAATAATTAAATAATTTAGTGCAATATTTCCTTTTCCTCAGTTTTTTTTTATTGTCTTATTTTAATATAAAAATATTTATTTGAAATCTATATTTGTAAAATCTACAAATATTTATTTTAAAGATTTTTTTTGGAGTAAAACATTTTACAAATGGCAGGTACTATGTACTATTTATATTATAAAATGAAAAGTTAAATTAAAACAAACATATTATTGTAGGAACGACGCCATGATTGTTTTCCCGCCAAAACTATGTAGTCTATATTTACTATGAATATCCATTGCAGAATATAAATTTTTATGTCATAAAATACATTATATTGACAAAAGTTATTAAAAATGCTCACCTTAGTTCTATTCCTTTTAATCCTAGTATCCGGTGTGGAATCTACATCTGACAATTTCTTTGCAGGTGTGACACCATCAGTAGCTTTTGTTGGGGAAAGCTGTCTTCTCTTTCTCAATGGCGGAGTGACTGTTGCTAACTTCATCGTTGACTTTGGAGTTGCTTTTACCTCAGGCTTTATTGTAGTTTTAGCTTCAACTTTCTTCTCTTCTACTTTCTCTTCTGGCTTTACAACATTAACTGCCTGTTCTTCTTTTGGAGGTTCCGTGATGTCTTTGACATCTTCTTTTTTTTCTTCTACCAGGGGAGGCTTTTCACTTGGTTCTTCCTTCTTTTCTTCTGGTTTTAATGGTGAGTCTGGTTTGAGACTATCTGAGACAGGTTCCTGTTCCTGAGGTGGAGATGGGGACACTTTATCTTGACTGCTGTTGGCTGTTTCTGGTACTGGCTTGAGGTCACCTTGTGTGGGAGCAACAACTGCTGGTGTTGTTGGTTTGAGCTCAGATGGTTTAGTTGGTGATTTCTCTGGTGCTTCATTGGCAGTGGCAACTTTTGGTTGAGCTGGACTTTCCGTTTGACTGAGTGTATTTGGGCTGTCTATCTTTTGAGGCGTACACTGTGTACTTGACGGTTTTTCAGGTGATTTTTCAGGTGGTTTTGGAGTACTTGGTGAAGTCTTAGCAATATCCTGTTTGTCTTTGTTAGTTTCAGGGTTTTGTGCCTTTAGTGTTGTTGGTGCATTTGTTCCTGTTTTTGATGACTCTATTGTACCATTTGCATGGCTGCTGGAATCTGGTTCCTTCTTTTCTGGTGTTCTTGTTAGAGCTAGAGGCTGAGAGGTATTTGCCTTCTCCTGTACTAAGCTTAGCGGGGCACTTGTAGACACAGGTTTGCTGGGAATCGGTGGCGGAACAGAATTTTGCGTGACGTGTGATAAGTTTCCATGGTGACTCATATTTTGAGCCATTTGTGCCATATTGGCCGTCACCGGCGCCATAGAGGGCACAGCGTGAGGTGGAACTGGTGGAGCATTCACGTGATGCGTTAGATTTTGTCCGACGAGGTTATTTGATCCGTGGTGGAGGGAGTTTTGGGCGCCTTGAGGAAGTGCGACGGTGTGGTTGGCGCTGGCCACGTTGGCCTTCGCGGGACTCGCCTGACCGCCCGGCTGCGGGACCCCCGGCTGGGGCAGCACCGGCTTTAAAGCAGAATTCATATCAAACGACGACAACACTTGACGCGTTTTTCAGACGTTCACACTGAAACATAAAAGCGAGGCATTTACTACACTATTATTATAGCACATTCACACTTGGCGATGTCTTTGACCCATAACAATAATTCATACATAACACAAGTACACAACCTGTGTCTATGTATAGGCGTACGCGGGTACGAGCGCAAACGCGATTACCCGCCTTTACCGCTACTTTCTATTATCAAAGCAGATTTCATGCTGTGATTTAGCTGTGAAAAGTTACCAGTAACAATTTAGCCGCCAAACGTTCATGAAATATCTGCGTATCCGTAGCGATTGCAGGGAAGCAACCGCAAAAAATATGCGTTGCTCTAAGAAACTTCCGCAAGATTCCGACAACCGTAGCTGGAGCTCAGGCCACTAACTTTATTTACAACTAACGAACACTTAACCTCGTTGATGGTAAAATTATTTCATAATTAACACTTTTAACAACAAAATAATAAAACTAAGTTTGGTTTAGATAAAAGAAATCTTTCAACAAGTATTATGCACAGTAGTTTAGAGATGGCGTCGGCATAACGCGCATGCGCCACCCTCTTTTTCTCTTATCCAATGAATACTCGGTATGAAGCGATGCTTAAATGAATTTTTCTAGGAAAGTTATGTCTCTTTCCAACATTAGCTTCTCATATATCACTTTCTCGTTTTATCAGGCGAGGAATGTTGCGTTCGTTTTAATATTAACGGTATTAGAAAAGCAATAGGAATATAATTTTAAAAAAGTCAGTATTAAACTTATAAATTTACACATGTTACAATTAATAGTTGATGACAGTCTCTGTTTTTTGTTTTTCCGCCTATCTCCCTATTATTATGTAATTTAAAAAAAATACGTAACCCAGAAAAAAATCCTTGGATAAGTTTTTTAATTTATAATATATTTTATCTAAATAGCTGCTTAATGACAGCTTTGGCGGATCTTAAATGACTTTATCTTAGTTTATTTAACTACATGTCACATACGTTATATTACTAATAAGTCTTATCTTACCTATAATTAGGTATGTGCATAGTGGGCAAAATGTGAAAAGTTAATACTATATATACCTACCGTGAAGTCAACCAACCAGCACTGGGCCAGCGTGGTGGACTGAGGCCTAACCACTCTTGATTTAGGGTAGGCTCAATGAGGACGTATAGCTGATGATGATTTATAGCTAGATAAATAAAATGACGCCGATGTTACTCGCTCATACATGAGCTACTTTGCATTATCAGTCCTAATTAAATTAAATTTAAATTTAGAATTTTAGTTTTTTTTTCGAATTTTTGGAGATTACCCGAAACAAACGTGGAGTGGCGGCTTTTCGGTGTATCGGTGTTGTAACGCAAAACATCATGTGTACGAATATATTTTTTATATTAAAAACAAAAATGACCAAAAACCTCTTAAGTGCATCACAATCTCCATTGATATTGCAACACTTCACATCTACATACGTTGGTATATGAAACGAATTAATGTCATTTAAAAATTGAATATATTCGATTTACCCATCCTATGTTTTTGCCCATATATATATTTTTTCTCCTATAAATCATTATCAGCATTTTTATAGTTCAAACTTCAATTATCATAATCAAGCACTGTGACTAGAATACTTTTATAACTTGATGCGACCAGGAACATAATCATGGTGATTGATAAAGATGTTTTTTAATGAAATTATTGTGTCACTTCAAGAAATTAGATCCAAACATTGACATTGAGCAGCATTGAGCATACTGATCAAATCTAAACCTGGCAACCCAAGCTAAAAAAAAACTGTCAATCTTAGATCAAAAATCATATCATAGGTTATGCGAAAGTTCCTTTTATAGCCTAGTTTTATTTTTACCCAATAAAAATTACGCAAAGTTATTTTAAATCTTAATAACATACGCTTTTGATATTTATGTTGTTATTCCCTTATAGAACATAGTTTATTATCCAAAAGTCCGAGAGATCCTTTGAATAAAGCGCAATGGTTGGTGACACTTCTTATAAAAGATTGGTTTTTAATTAAATTTGGAAGTTTTATTAAACAAACTTTATATGTTGTAGGATGTTTTATCACGGCCTGCAGAAGAATTCGACAACGATGAAACTTTGGAACATTTATGGGCAGCTAAAGCTATGGAACATAGCGATATATATTTTAATGTAAGTATTATTTTATGATTATTTCAGTTGCCTCCGCTGTTATCCATTTATTGTAATGGTATAATAGATTTTTAAACTATATTTGTGTGTCTTGAATTTCCCATTTTTTAAAAAATTCCCAAACTCTAAAATGTACTCATCTTCTACATTACTTATATTTAAGACAAATCTCTGTAATAAAGTTATTCAACGATAACTTACAGGTTCTATGTTCCGTAGACACAAGATGGCTACGGCTCACTCAACACGATGACCTCATCTACAATCACTTCAGACAGGACTTCCCTGATATGGATGTGAAATATATAAACGAGAATGTATTGAAAAATAACGTAAATAAATCTCGCTGGCGTATGTTCTGTGAGAAATTTAAAAACATTGTTGAAGACTACAGCTTCGGTACATTACTTCGTGCTGACACTAATGGTGATTATTCAGAACAAAATACAATTTTAGTACCAAGAGTTCAGTTCTATGCAATTGAAATAGCCCGAAACAGAGAAGGTTTGAATAATGAAGTGAAGAAAAGATGTAAATGTGCCTCTAAATTGACAATGGACAGCCAAGAACATACTCAAGAAGTTGCCGTTTAATAAAACCGCAAGTCCTAAGTGTGCCTTTTAGTAATTACTTTGCAAGTTACTCTACTTATTTCCATTTCTAACATAATGGGTCTAAATATAAGTTAATTGAATAAATGTTATGTTAGTGGTAATTGTATATCATATTTAATGCCTTTTATTAAATTTCATTAAACAAATAAAATGCTGTTTTCGAGGGCATTTTTTTTAAGATTTCTTGCCATGAAAATAAAGTTGTAGTCACTTGTGTAAAAACAATAAAATCTTTTTCAATTTGAACAGATGTAACAGAAATTTGTAAGCAGCTGCAAACAAAATAGATTTATTCACGAGATGCTCAATTACACATACATCTTTTATAATAAATTTGTACTTTATAAAAAGATCATTGTTTTATTTTGCCTAACAAGTATGTCAATTGAGATTTTCCACCCTTAGTATATGGTCAAAACAGTACAAATAATAATTGCATACCAGTTAAAAATATGGAGATGCAATATTTGGACCTTAGTATAGAAAAAGATAGGAAATAACAAAGGAATTAGGAAATAAGAAGGTAGGAAAAGTAAGTTGAGAAATTTGTAGTAATCATTTATTTTAGTCCTAACACATATAATGATAGAATATATTTCTCACATTATAAAGGTTTATGCTGCCCAGAAATTTTTATGTGCCTAAAGTTGATTTAAATAAGTCAAAATGAATGGTAAACTAGATTTCTGTCACCGACAAGATAAATCCATACAGTCCAATATTACGAAAATACAAAAGGCAGTACACAAGTTTTTTGGAGAGATACATAGACAATCTACACACAATAAAAACTACAAGCTTATATTACTAGATTAGTTTTACACACAGTCATTTGTTTCTCAAATGGAAACAGAAACTGGTGAAATAAGTTCAATCATTATAATACAATTAATGTCGCCACCGGCTCCGTCCGTGGAGAATTAAAAAAATACACTTAGTAGTCTATGTGTTCTTTCACACTATGTTCTACATCCCCGGTAAATTTCATTGTGAGCTGTTTTTAAGATCCTTTTAACAAATTTTCATTAATCAATCCAATCACTTGCATTTATAATATCAATAAGATATCCAAAAACAGATGCATATCACAAATATTTGTGAAATCTCTAGTCGCTTGAAACTATTGTAAACTGTAAATTATTTAATCAGATACAATATCTACAGGATATTCAGTCATTATTAATCCTCTTGACCATAAGGCATCAGCAATTTGCATTTTATCATCGTTATTTGGTACATCAAGATTCTCTATAAAAACATACTCTGGGTATGCGGTAATCAATGTTTCAATTGCAGGAGCGAATTCCTCAGAAATTTCCATGAATGATAATTCATTTCCATGATACTCTAATGAGTTTTCATTATAGAAATATATTTTTATGGTCTCCTCAGAAACTAATCTTAATATATTCTTACGTAACAATCTTATTTTTGTATCAAGACCCATTTCAACTCTATTGATGACTTTTCCATTTTCAACCATCACAGCCGTGTCTCCATAAACTGTGCAGGCTTTTTCTGTGTCACTGAGCACTGGGGGTAAGGCATCATGTTGGAATTTTTTGCACATTTGATCCACAGCTCCATCCATAGGTAGGTAAGTTTTTATTTTATGAAAGAGGTTTTTCATAAACTCTTCCATTTCTACTCTCCTTGGTGTTGTTGAGTCCGAGTGTACAAGACCAAAGTTGTCATGTATATCAAATGGCAGGCCTTGGCGGAAAAGTGGCTCTTCATTGATGGCAATTTCTAATGCCGCTGGGAGCATTTTCTCAAACAAATCAGCCCATGATTGTTTCTGATACATGCTAATGGTGACATGTAGGGAATGCTCTCCATCAATTGTAACTCCTTGGTGAATGTATCCTCGAGGAAAATACAACATGTCTCCAGCTTGTAATGTTACTTCCATGATTGGTTTACCTATTTCAGTTTCTGAAAAATTTCTTGATGACACTCTGGGCAACAATTCATTTTCTTTTAAAGGCTTGTATATGCGCCAATGTTTTTTGCCTTCTGCTTGTAGTATGAATGCTTCAATATCATCATAATGTGGTGCAAAGCCTTGGCTATCTGGAGGTGTCAGGTAAGCATTCGCTCCAACAAAAGAAGTGAAATGTTCTTGTAAGGTAGCATTCAGTAAATGCAGCTTTGGCATATAAGTCTGTGGGTTAAGCAGTCGAATACTGCAACCGTGCAGATAGAAATCCCACACAATGTGCGGGAGAGCTCTGCCTACAGGATTATGTGTTTCTCGTTTACCATTTTTATATGAAGTGATATCTAAATTTTTCGTATACTGAATATTGTCAGTACGTAGCATATTATCAATAAGGGGTGTAGAAATCAAGTCATTGTAGTATTTGGGTTTGTTCCTAACAATATGTAACGGTTTTTTCTCCCAAACAGATCGAAAGAAGTCAATATAGCTGTATGGGGCAATCATCCACTTGAAGACCTTCAAGGCTTCTGCAGAGCTGTCTGTTGTGACTGGAGTCATTTCCAGCTCACCAATACTGGAATATGAGTTGACATCATCTTCATGTGAAGAATCGCCTAAAACATTATTTGGCATGGGAACTGGAATGAGCGCTGGCACTTCTTCACTATCGTACTCCTCTTCATTAATGGTATCATTATTAACTGAATGATTTATGCTATCGTCATATTTTTTTACCATGATTTTATTTGATTTAAGCTTCTTCTTCTTGTCCGTTTTTTTCTTAATTATATTTTTGGTCTCGTTTGTCTTTTTTTGCTTCTTTTTTATTTTTTGTGCGACACTTTTCCCATCATGGTTTAGTATACGAGATAGCGGTTTCTGCACATTTGAGGTATTTACTTTACTTTTCTTTTTCTTCTTGTCATGTTTTGGTGTAGACTGTTTAGTATTTTTATACATAGCAAATGCAGATACAGGCGAATCCATTTAGAAATCAGGTGTTAAAAAGATAAAAGTTATATTACTTTAACCTTAACACAAAATGCGAAAATGCCTAATTTATTATATTACAATAAGATCCCTACGCAACAAGTGACTAACATACCACGTTAATAGGCTGTTGTATATTAGTAAAAGGTGTAATTTATATACAAAATATGTGTAGATTAATCTTCAATTAAACTAGCGACATTTTTTAAAAACATGCCGGCTCAAATCCAATGAGTCCACCAAAGAGTATATAAAGTACATTTTTTTTTTAATTTTATGACCTGGTAACATAGACCTTTAGGTCATATATAAAGTCCATTTTTTGTTATAATTTTATGACCTGGTAACATAGACCTTTAGGTCATATATAAAGTCCACAGATGTATGGCTCATAGCGTATGTAACACGATTATTAATTAATTCTCAGTATATTATGGCAAGCCTAATGCCACAGATAAATAAATTCGCTTTTGTTGTAATTTGTAAGCGATTTTAACGGTCATTTATTTATAATATTGGAACACCAAGGTCCCAAATATAAACATCTAGTTGAAGTAGGTAGTCTTAGTAGTACGTAGGTCTTTTTCTTTACATTCATTTCCCTTCTTTTTGTTACTGGTGTTCAAAATAGGGAAGGCAAGATGGTGATTGATCAGAATATAGCGATGTCCCACATAAACAGTTTCAAATATTTCTGTATCTATTTTACTTTTGAACAATAAACGGTAAATAAAAATTATTGTCATTAATTATTTCCAAAAAATTATACACTACAATGTAGAACTGTACGAAAATTATAAAAAAATTGCTAATAAATTATGATTCATTGGGGAATAATACAATAATACCCGTAATACAAGTATTTATTTCTTTATTTATACACATATATAATTTGGTTTAACGTTCCTCCTACCACTCAAAGGAATTTTATTTTATAACTTGGCTATCCACTACAATCTATTTAGTAATCATAGATAAAAACTAACTTGTAAATATTATTTGTGATAGTTTTCTAAAGTTGATACATTGTAGGCATTTATATTTATATAACCTACGGTCATAAAAAGCAAATAATAAAGAATTTTACATATTATGTTCCCTGTACAGTCGCAAGTACCTTTGTTTCCATTGTTACGCTGCTTTCAGTAGAGTTTAAGAGTGATCTTTTAAATAAATTTGTTATTACATTTTTATAGGACCAAATTATACGAAAGTATTTTTTTCGTCTCGATTCATAATATAAATAAGGTGCATAGTATTATCATATAATATCAGGTATCTATTAATTTATAAAATATTTTTATTAATTAATGGCAACATAATGGGTAAATAGATATATATTTTATTTTCTATAGCTGATAATATCTAGTCCTATAGATTTATTACTTAACATATTCGTATAGACATCAAATATATTTTTATTTACTTCCAGCATTTTTGTAAATAATTTATTAATTCATACATAGAGCTATAGAATTTTTGCCTACTAGTTATATCTTTTTTCAGGTATATTTTCTTTCTATTATTTTGATTTATAAAATAATACGACTACATTTCAACTTAAGGGTTTTTGTCTTGTTTACGTTTACATATCTTTTTTATAAAGGATTGTTATGATATGACATTGATAATTAAGGTTTTTGTTGTACATATGTTTTCAAGGCGTATACTTTATAGATGTTACTTTCCTTTACTGATTACAAAATCATTTGTGTAGAAAATATCATTTTTTTTCAGTCTTATTACGAACTAAGTTCAAGTAAATTACTATGCCAAAAAATTATATGTTTTTTTACCCTTGTTTTTTAAATTGGATGATTTATTAAAAAGTTTCACGTTAAAAGTTTTAAACATGATTTCATACAAGATTACCGTGAATGGCACACATTATGGTAACTTCTCCACTTTCAAGTATAAATGCAATTATTTTTTGAATCGTGAAAAATTGATAATTTGGCTATTAAAAAATATATGTTATTTTGTGCCACAATTTACTACACACCTAATAAAATATTATGCAAATTAAACACATTTTACACACGAAAAATCGTCTGTGGTTGACATATGACATTAATTTTCGTTATCTATGAAATTTAATACGCGGGAAAATCTTCCAGCGCGAGTGAAGACAGATACATACATAAAATATACTGAGGCTAAGCTTACGCCACTTAAAGGTTATTATTATTAAGGTAGCGATAATTGTCTTAAAACCGATGTAAAAGAAATCCGTATTTACCATAAAATTTCTATTGTGACAAAAGGAATTTTGAAAATATTTGCAGTTGGAATAGAAAAAACTAAGATGTCGTTTGAAAAGTAAGTATCAAAAAATTCAATTAATTAAAAACTATCTTGCTTTTACGTAAGGAATTGTTAATTCCTATGTCTAGAATACACTTACATCATAACACATAGATTTATTAAAAATGACATTTATTACAATTAAGATATCATACTTTTTTCTCTGATCTAATAAAATAACTAATATATATTTCATAACCATCCAATGTCATTGAGATTTGATTCAATTAAAAAAAAAAGTTGACATTACAATTAAATGATAGTAGGTATAGACAATTTTTTTTTAATGGAGGCGAATATCCCTCGCGTGCACGGGTGTGGTGTCCTCGGGGCTGGGGCTGTCATCCAGGTGAGGTCGGATGTGGACGACGGAGCGGCGCTGGTCGTAGTGGTCACGCATCACCAGCCCGCCGATACCGTACCCGGGTCCCGCGGAGCCGCTCAGCCTCATCTTCTCCGGGTCCTCGTCCAGCTTCATCGATGAGAAGACCGTGCTCAGGTTCAGTTGCGGGATGTCGTAGAAGACCGTTAGCGTCAACATCAGGAACGTCAACCCGGTGATGAGGTATACTGGAATAGAGTGGATTTAGTAAATACCTCTTAATACTATACTGCTGCCTATTGACTTAATATATCTGATAGTCTAATGGTGTGACCATTTCCATTATTGTCTAGATAATTCTCTAATATATGCAGCTAGTTAAGCCTTCTATTGTATTATTTTAGATACTGGGTGTGTTACTACTCCACATATAATGATATCGTGAAGTTATCGAGCACAATTTAAAGAAAAATCTACGTTGTACTTACGTGTTGTAGCAACCTTGTAGAGCGGACGGTAGGGCTGTTCGGGTGAGTCGCCGGGGATGTAGTCGCCGAGGCCTATGGTGGTGAGGGAGATGAAGCAGTAGTACAGCGAGTCCAGGAAGTCCCACTCCGGTTCCAGGCTCGCAAAAATCGCCGCCGGCACCAGGATGAAGAACACCACGAATGTCGTTACTGAAATACAATTTAATTTTCAATTAATTATTTAAGAAATTAGTTTTTATCGTTCTAAATAGTAATTTCACTAACCGATAATCATGAGGTGTACTAGTCGTATAGTGAAAGGTCGGTAGAGATGTCCCAAAGCTGCGTTGAGGGCTCTCAGCAGCGCGGTGGCTGGCAGCAGCAGTCGCTCCACCAGCGCCGACAGCAACACCAAGGTGAGGGGGATACCCAGCAGCGCGTACACCATGCAGAACAGCTTGCCTGGCTTCGACAACGGAGTAACGTGACCATAACCTGCAAACGAAATATGGTTCAATTATACTGCGGCTATCAATATTTCTATGAAAAAAAATATTGGCTCACTAGTGACGCTAATTGAATAGCAGACGTTATCTGAAAGAGTCTTAGTCTGTACTTTAAATATGTAGTACTATAAATTTGATTTAAAACGTGATTAGAATATAAAGTCAAAAGTGAAATTAAAACTATAAAAATGTCTGCGATATAATATATGCGCAGAAGCTTATCGTTTAGTTCGGGTTCAGTAAATTGGCAACAGAAAGGTGGAGCGATAGTTTACGTAGATACAATGCCGTGCTTGGGGAAGCGGAAAATTGAATTTTATATTATAAACTTTAGCTGCAGCAGTGTCCATAGATAAAAATATTTTTTTAGCATTTTATGGGTTATCTAAACACACTTTGGAAACTAGACGTGGGTTAACGATAATGACTTAGACCCCGCCTTGACACAATTTTGGTGAATTAAAACGAAAGCTTAAAACTACACAAATTGTTACACGGAACAAATCAGATGATGGTTTTTGGAGGGTCTTGATCTCTCTTACACCTGTAGGTATCCATGTTTTTAACGCATTAGCAGTAATACAGATAAAAACTGACCGATAGTAGTAACGACTGTGGACGAGAAGAACAGCGACTGTCCGAAGCTCCAATTGGGACCACTAGTGACGTTCTTGGAGGCCGACACGCCGCGGTTGCTTGCCTTGATCACCTCTTCCAGCAGCGCCTCCAGGTCACCCTCTGGAACAATAGATTACGGTGAGCTAAAACTGTCATTCTGATTGCCATCCATCAAAGTGTCCTTGATTAATCTTAGTTAACAAGATAACTAAGATTAAGATTTACAAGATTCGAGGATATTCATATCTAGCTATATTAGTTAGAAAAAACGCCCATAATGCATCTATTACATCATTTCACACAGGCTGGTTTTCAGTTCTTAAAATAAAAATTAAAAAACACATTAAACGAAATTCTAAATTTAAAGACACAAATGTCAAATAAACATTCACGTGTTTGCGCCATTTTTTTATCGTTTTCGGTTACACCAGTGTTTTTTTTATAATCTTGATAACTTAATAATTCACTGACAGTCACTTTTGTCATTGCAATTAATACGACAAATTAATTAATAAGGGAAAGGAAAGTTTGACCCCATATTACTCTTATTGAATAACGGCGGCTTAGTTAGTGAAAGAAAATAATTAGATTTGTTATCTGTTGCTTCGTACGAGAATAAGTAATTGGCTTAGGTTTATAAGCTTGATGTGTGGCTAAATTGAATGGATTAAGGCGCCGGAGGACCGAATTGAGTTATCTCTAGATGAGAAGCTCTAGGGCTTCGTTAAATAAGTACCAGGCGACCATGAATATAAAGATATACGATGTGGAATATCGTTTGTAGTACAGTATTTGAAATGTGGAAAACGTGAGGATAAAAAATACATATTTAGGTTTCTTCTACGAATAGCTATTGATATTCTATATCCAGTTATTAAAAAAAAAAACAACAAAACATTTTTTTTAAATTGTACAAAATAAGGCGTTCATCATGAAACTTATAATTAAAAAGTCTAATCATTGCATGTGCCTTCATTGTTGAAGTGAACAAACTTGAGGTGTATGACCCAGACGGTCACCAAGAGTCCACATAAAAACCTTTAGCGGAATTAAAACCAGAACATAGAGTACATTACTGTTTGCATTCAACGTGTCTAGACAACATGGTTATCGACCGAGCGAAAAGTTCTTTATTTTTAAATTATAACAAAAAGTATTGAACTCAATTTATAATACAATGATAGTTCTTATTTCAAATAGGATGATATAAAGAGATTGCAGGCCATATCGCGTATAGTATAAAATTTAATAACATTACTAATATTATCATTGCAAAAGTTTGTTTGGATTTATAGCTGCTGGTTACCACGTAATTTAAAAACTGTTGAATGAATTTTGCACCTGACTAATAATTACACTCTAAGATACCGCATATTTATTAAGCTTTTTCTATTTTCACACCAAAAAGGGTATAAAAAGTTTTCAAAGGCGCTATCATTTCTATTTTATGTTTGTTGTAAGAAATTCATAATGCAAATTACAACCATGTTATCGATCTCATAACTACAAGTTCCTGTTAATCTCTGGTGGATTTAACGAAGTAACTGACATCTGCTAGTTCATCTCGACCATAAACAAGATTACATCGGTTATTCCCGCGCAAATTGGACGTAAGTTTGCGCAACTTTGTATACGTCATTTTGATTATCGGTTATTTAATCCCTTTGAGATGATTTAAAATTACATTTTACGATAATCCAATTATTTTTTTTAGACAGCTGTTGTGATGGCACAGGAAATAAATGGTAAATATAATATTCCCATTATCTTAGTATGTAAATAAGCTTCAAAATATTATGCGTCACAGATCGAATGATAAATATTTATGCAAAACAACCAGACACGTTAAAAGCAATAAAAAAATCATACATATTCAAATACTGATAGCAAACTGGAGAAATGACAACCACTTCATAGACTAGACGATTTTTTTGCTTATTAACAAAATATTTACCCAATAATATTTTAATAAAATAATTTAATGAATTTAGATAAACATTGGCAGTAATTATAGCTGTAAATGTGCTTCATAACCAAGTTTCCTCGTACAATTAATTATGTCTAATAAGTAGGACACAAGAATACGTACGCTTTTGCATATATATGTAGATATGTATATTATTCCTTTGTATAAATATTTAATCTCCAAATCCTCTTTCAAGGCTTATTAAAACGTATGTTCTAAATTAAACAAGATGGCGGGCATTTAGTATTGTTAAAGGCATTCGGAGCGCGAATTAAATTAGGTTAGACAGCAATTTTCACGCCCTTGCAAACCGAGACGAGAATACGCAAACACAGAGGGAACAAACAATGGCGGTCTCAAAGCAGTTTTATGTGTTTTAATATGAACACTGTGGCCAAATTGTTTTGCTTTGTTGTTTGCCAGTTTTGACGGGATACGACAGAGACTTTCGCCTCAACAGTTTTTGAAGAAAAAAAGTATAGCTGAACGAAAAAAAGACGGACACAAAGCATTACGATCTTGTATTAGATTTTAGGCGATTTATAACTTTTAGTTTGTAGTATCAGCCATCTTGCTGAGACCGGTAGAATGTAATTCCAATTGGAAATTGTTGCGCAATATTTCTATTTTGGTTACCTATGTTTTAGTATTATTTATTTATGAACAAAAATCTTGACGTTGTTAAAATTATTTCATTTCAAGTTAGTTGGTTTAGTTTATTATGGCATAAAAATACGCACACTTTAGTTTAAAATATTTTACGTTTAATTAACGAATGTCAATGTTGGTTGAAGTCTGACGAAATGTAAAACAAATTTAGACACTTGCCGATTAAGCCACGTAGAGCTGCCCTGTTCTTTTAAAACTTTACAGGAACAAATATTTAATGCTAGTGACGTAGACATTTAAAATCTTAAAAATACATGTGATGGAAAAATTATGTTTCATATATTCACAAATTATTATTATTTCTAACATGACTTGTCTTGTGTTACAAAACTGTTTTTATGTTGAGCTCTTAAGCGCTTTATAAATTTCACGAGAACATTAAAACTTCTCAGCCCACCCTATCTTTACTGAGTCACTCATCACACAAGAGTTAAGTACTTAAGTTACATAAAACTTTGCTATAAAGTTCAGGTACTTTTTTTTAGTTTGTTATCACTTGTTTGAATAACAAGGTTAGAAAGTAATATTAAAGTAGTGACTTTTCAAATAGTAGTACAGAGTGGAGAAACCTCCTACGAAAGATGGTCAAACAAAGGTCACGAAGTGAGGAAACGATGTGCTCAGAGAGAGAGAGAGAGATTCGTGCGTCATTTACAGAGAAGTGTTGTAGTTATTGTAAAATATATAAACTCACTATTCTACACTACACTTTATAGTAATAAAACATTGAAGTTGCATAATTTATTCACAACAACAATTAACTCTGATGCGTCAATAAATCAAACGTCACAAATGGCACGTTTGTAATCTGTGCAGGGGGTGTTGGCTGTACAGCACGCTGGCCTTTGCTCTCTGCTACTCATTTGTTGCGATAATACGAACTGTCATTACGTCACGACATCCCGACAAGAAATATATCGTTGGAATTTCCACAAACATTTGGATTGATAAACATTATTTACTAATTTCTTCTAGTGTAGTTATTAAAAATTAAGATTAATAGAACTATTCAGAATGTAATGCTCAAAAGGTTGTTAGGCAGTTAAACGTACTAAAAATGTAACAACACAAAAAACACAAAAAAAGTGAGAAAAGGACCACTAAGCCAAGCCACTAGACCGTATTGTGCTAAATTTGCTGTGTTGTCAAAAAAATCTATGGCTAAAATTGAATACAACCTCTTTCCTTTAGTTTATTATTATAACTTCGTAAGTGCAGATATAAAAACGTAATCTATAATATGTGCGTGCATTAGCTACCTTTCCGTGCGAATTCCGTCAAAATTAGTCTAGCCGTTCTGACGAACAGGCGATGCATTGCTGATATAAAAAGTCTAAACGGCGTTAACAGAAGTTATGTAGTATTGAACGAAGTTTGCATTTTGCCCGCAGATGCAGTTCAACTCGAACATCGAACTATTTCCCGGTCGACGTGCCGATGGCGCCGGGGTCAAGCGCTCAGATATTGTGCTCAAGAGGGGGCTTACAATATATCACTTTTATATCACTATTACTTCTATTGGAAATATTGTATTTTATTGCCATTGATAACAACTATTATATTGCTATGTATAATATGTTACTTTGTCTCAGAACATTAAGTAACTTCAAGACATTTTCTAATTTGGACAAAACAAACTACGTAAACTAAAACGAATGCCTTAACATTTTAAAAATAGAAAACAAAGTATACATAGGTTACTTGGCGACTTCCAAAGTTGCCCACATCAGTAACGTGACGTCCCTTTAGACACACCTTTGAAAAGGACGAGGAAATTCCATTTAAGGTACTCAAATAGGAAATGAAAATGGACGGGATGCACAGTCAAAGGACCGTTATCAACTTTAATCACTGCCTAACGTGTGGTATGGGATACCGTAAAGGTGCTTATACATTGACTCATACTATTTTAGAAATCTTTAGAATATGTAAAACCTACATGGGCACAGAAAAAGAAAAAAAACATGACCGCTACAGTACGAAAAGTATAAATGAAAAGAATCGTGCGACCACTTTTGGCGTTGACAGGGGGGCGCTAGTGGGTTATTATAATTTAGTTTAGTTTATGCCCAATATTATACTCGTCGGTCTATTAAATTAGTGGATAAAGATCGACAAAATTGTCATCTAATGTGTTTAGGTATTTAGTTATCCCACAAGGGATAATATTAGGTATGTAATAAAATATAGTTATCTTAATCCTCTCCGACGACAGGGCCGCCTTACGTCGCACTAGGACACATCAGGGGTCAATTGAGACTATAAAAGATGTTACGATTTGCTCGTTTATTGATAATACTAACTATAGACCGGAATATTCTTCAAAGCATTTTTAAATCATGTTAAGAATGTTTTGTAAACGCAATTTTAAATTCAATTTTAATTACATATTGATAAATAACGATGGCTTATTTAAAACTAGTTTACTAAGTTGTACCTTGTAATAACTAAATTAAATTCCAATTTATTAAGCCGTTATAGTGTGTTAAATCTTTATTAAATAAAATGGCGACAATTCCTCTCTATACAAACACATCCATTCGTTTTAATCTCGTAATATGAAAGAAAATATTACTCACAATATTACTGCCGAAGGTGTAAAGTCTGCGTTGACAGGCAATATTTTATATCAACTGAAATCGTCCCAGACTTTTCTCATAAACTTCTCATATATTGCAAACATTTTATCAGCAAATACTAAAGGTATCTACTATTGTTTCTTATTAATATTATGTTAACCTTCAGCCAAATAAAACTAGTTATTTTTACTCAATTAATCAATAAATCTAGAATTACAGGTCTTTTATTATGTTATAAAAATACTGAACTGTCATAAAAATACCTAATATTTCCGGATGTCGCGCCATAAAATCCGCTTTAGCTTGAAGAACTTCAATTCTCGTCTGCTTGTCAATAGGATCTTCTAGCATACTAAACACTACAGCACCCAACATCAAGAACAGTACATAAAAGAAAATATACGGCACTAACAAGCACGTCGATCTGGCTTCTCCAAACATTCTAGAAGTAACCAGCAGCGGCTGGAACGGTGGGTTCTCCTCTTCATAAAGAATCTCACGTTCAACCACCATCTTCTTTTGGTATGGAAACAGTCTGCTGTGGACCGTCATATCGTCTTCGCTGGCGGATGTGGTCATACTTCCGTAGGATTGAACTCGAGCGTACTTTGGGTTATCCATTTTAGCTAATGAATTTATCTACCACATGAAATGTTTATCAATAAACTAAAATACGAAAAAACTAACTTAATAGAGGCGATGAATAATCATAAAATAATTCCATTATACAAATTACTATTAAAGTTATTTGTCATTGGTAAGGAATAATGTATTGATTATCAGCTATATTTAAAGAGTCTCTCGGGATAATTCTGGTCAAATAACAATGCGGATAGACCACCGATATCACTACGCGGCATGTTTCATATTAAATTAAAATTTGAACACTGTAGAGGTAACAGACACTATTTTTAACACCTCTGACCCCCTCCGAGTCCAAAATGCGACTACGTATTCATCGTATGCGCAGTCCCACGCGATTCACTTGTTTTCAAAACTTGTTTGTTGCCTGCTCATTTTATTTTAATCAAACCTGTCTACCTTGCTCTAAAAGCCGTTATAGGACTTAATTGGACCCTCACACACTTATAAATTCGTAAACATAAACAAGTTGTGCAACAAAACAAAATGCAATACTAAGAACGTATAATATTACTTAATAACCCCTATATGACGTTTTTGTAATGTTCGGCTATAGCCATATTAAAAAAAAAACAATTATTTACAAAACTACTTGTACAATGTTCCACGGTCCCTCTTTTTATTTGAAGGAATATTACGCCCTAACTTTATGAATGGCTATAAGGTGAGGTCATTGCCTCAACCAACAGTTTGACTACGCCGTATTCAATTACACTCTTAATGTATTACATTTAATTAGCCTTGACAAAGTTCAAATAATCCACTTTTGGGGCAACAGAGTTTATATTTTTCATGAAATAAGGTCGATAAACTGGCACAAAGTTCAAATATTTTATTTTATAATTTTTCACAATAACGATTTGCTAATTATATTTGACAGGCGTTAAAGGTTGTGACAAGTGATTTTTACTACACGAAATAAGTTAAAAAAGCGAGTATTAACGTGATTTTTTCACAAAGTTAACACAAGGAGGCTTGAAAATATCTTTCGTTGATCGTTAGATATGAAACGTAATACCACTTACAACGTCCTAATTACAGTACAAGTATCGTTACCATAGTCACGCGACGAGTACATTAAATTAAGATAAAATGCGATAGATCAAACCAAAGGTCGACAGCTAAATATTTCTCTTAGTTTGTAGTATTTATTTTAGGTCAACAAAATTAAAACAGTAGTTTGTAAACACAACCGTTTGAAACAAATATACGAATTTAAATAATTACTATAAAACCTACGAATAATTCCTTCGTAACACTAGTTAAGAATTAATTTTGCATTCTACTAAATCATGCCCATTATAATTAAATAACGACATTTAAACAACTTCATTATTTTAAAGCTTAATCAGAATTAATTTCGTCATTTCATCTGACACATTATTCGGCGGGAAAATGAAATAAAGCAGCACAGATTATTGTAAACGTTTTGGCGCGTAATTAATTGTCAGCGAAATTAAGATCGATACAATACGACTCTGTTGTTTTTCGAAATTGTATTAAAAGGATATAAAAAAAATGTAAATATAACAGTGTTAAAATAAACATTAAAAATATACGATGTATAATTTTTTCAACCTACCCTTAATTTGTTAAAAGAAAAATGATATTATTTTATTATCACGCAATGTAATATATTGATGTTTTGTTTATTCGTGATTGAATATCTGAACTATTACGCCATATTGTCCATCGCGACTGATATCGTAGTAATAAGAAATATGTAACAATTATTATCATTTTATTTGCGTTTAGTTTTTATGCTTTACGTTTTTTCTGCTATTCTTAATAAAAATTTAGCAAACGTATTCAAAAAGGTTTTATGTAAGTCAATATATTTAACATATCTAATTTATTGATATCTAAATATTAGGTAATATAATAAAATCATAAATAAATAAAAGCCATATCAATCGAGATAATCTCGTTGAAAAACAAACAAAAAGATAAGACATACCTAAGACGGTCGGGTTGCGGGCCATAAAGTCATGTTTGGCGCGAAACACGCTGACGCGGATGTCGTTTTCGAAGGGATATTCCAATGAAGAGAATACTATAGCCCCTGAGATTAAATAAAACACGTAGAAGCAGAGATACAGCGCCATTAGACAAGTGAATCTCGCCTTCCCGAAGATCCTGGTTGTAGCAAACAGCGGCTGGAATGGCGGATGTTCCTCTTCGTACAGAATCTCTCTTTCGACCACCATCTTTTTTGGATACGGGAACAGCTGGCTGTGTACAGTCATGTCGTCATCACTTCTCGATGACGTCATACTCCCGTACGACTGAATACGAGTGTATTTCGGCTTCTCCAACATTTTGTAAAATTTTCAACGACGATTTTTTTAAAAAGGATATTTTTGAACTATAATAACACTTTGAGGGTATAAATTGCAGCGAATAGCGAGTCGATTACTAAAACATTATTATGCAAAATAAACACGTGAAAAAGTTCAAAAGTTCGATATCAACTTTCCGTTACCAGATCGTAGTAGTAAGATCTCAACGGAGATGAGTTTCGGTCAACTGTACTTGAAGAATCTTTTCGGATGATTAGGCTCAAAGAAAAGCGCGGCCACTTCGGACGTGTTGATGTGATCAGGAAGCGACATTATGATGCATTGTATACGGCAACAAGTTTAAAAGATTTTTGACAATCTGTCTTTTGACCAGGTACGTGTGATGCGCTAGAGACCCCACAGACAACTGTTCGACCCACTCGACGGTAGCCGATAAAAGAATATCAATAAGGGTGCGAACACAGTACGCAAATAATGATTGTGAATCACTAACTGCAGCATTTATAGTCCATAGGGTAACGCCCTTATATCTAGTATGAGAAGTTTATACTAACAGAGGCGAGAATCAAGATGGCGGGTGTACCCTAACGAATATTCTTGTATCTAGTATTAAAAATGTACCAAAATTGTACTATTTAGTACCACGCTTTTAAAAAGAATTGTACCTTCTTCAGAACGAAATTAAGTTACACCCGCCATATTGGTGTCAAGATGGCGGGTGTACTGTTTTTATTTAACCGTTATTAATATTAAACAACTACACCAAAAAAAAGGTTTCATTGAAAATTAGTTTAAAAGCTAACGTTCTCTTTTAATATTTTTATAACAAATAAAAAATAACATGGTGTCAATTGAGTATTTGATTATTTCTTTTTGTATTTAAATTTCTATAATATAAACATAAAATATTTGTAAGGCGGGTTTTTAGAAGTATTTAGAAATAAGTATCTTTTCAAACATACATAAGTTAGATATGTTTGACGTTATCGCGTAACCGTTACAAAAACTGCTTCGTGTGTACTAACCCTTATGTATAAATCGGCCGGTTTTGTGCGATAACATTGTTTATAACTGATCTACTTAGCAATTAAACAAATCGATGTTGCCATCTAATTTATTATAATTACCCTCATAAATTCTATCTCAGTCACTTTTGTGCTCATTACAAATATAATAAGAACAATTATCGATTTATTGTTTAAGAAGAAATACTACAGAGGCAAAACCAAAGTAACTTAAACTAAAGGAACAGGAAATTTTTAAACTCTAACGACAATTTTTGGATAAGATACAATATGCTTGTTCCTATAATACATATTAATTAAATTTGAGTGTCTATATGTAATAATCTATATCTTTATATATCTTTATATATATAATTCTTCTGTGAGTGTGTATGTCACTGAACTTCTCTCAAACGACTGGACCGATTTTGATGAAATTTTTTGTGTGTGTTCAAGGTGATCTGGGAATGGTTTAGATTCACAATTTTGTCCGCTGGACAATGTTTTTTTTAATTAATTTTTAATTTATTAGTAGTTGTTGATTTTGGAATGTTTTACATTGGATCCGACAGACGGCGCTACCATCGCAGTGTCAAATTTTTTCAGTCAGTTTCAAATTAAAGACGTGTAGACAGGACAACGTCTGTCGGTTCCGCTAGTATGTATATAAAAATCAATTTCTGTTCGTTAGTCTCGTTCTAGTTCTCTAGTTAGTTGAACGGATTTAACTTATCTTGGTCTTGAAATGATCGTGGAGGTCTAGGTTAAGGTTTAAAAGGTGAGAAAAATCGAATAAATACCGGGAACTAAGTAAGTTTTTTTCGTTCTACGCAGACGGCAAGTTTCAGTTTATGTATTTAGGTAACTGATAACATAGTTTCGATTAAGCTTCTAAACCAGTCTTTCCCAAAGTGGGCGATAACGCCCCCTTGTGGGCGCTGCATGTATCATGTTGCGGGTTATAGTAAAAGTTTAGTTTAGAATTCGGGGAGCTAAAAAAATATTTATTCTCAAAGTGGGCAGTAGACAAAATAAGTTTGGGAACCACAGCTCTAAAGAGTAACTTAGTTTGTAAAATTCTAAGAGATATTTAATTAAAGACGAAGTATATTACGTTTTGTGATAGTTTATATATATATTTAGTTTCATACATTTACATAATATTTACAAAAATTACCACAAAATTTCCTTAATTTTTTTCCATTAGCGTGCTAAGGCTACTTATTTTTTTTTAATTTGTAGTCTAAATACACTGAACTACTTCTTACTTATTATAATAACAAAGACAATACTTTAAAAACTCATTACTCTTACTAATTGTCTTTGTTACAGTGATTATGTTAACAATAATCTTTTTGTATTCGTTTTAATTTGAAAAAATATTGAATCCTATTATCTCTAACTTATGTATTTAAATTTCATTTTTAAAATAGATTATTAATAAATGAAGTTTATTGAATTTTGACCTTTACTCTAATAGAAATATAAACTCTTTTTCGATGTCAACTTTAAACAAACACGAATACAAACTAATTACGAATCATTTGCTCGTGAGAAATATCAATAAACGTATCAACAAACGCGTAATGCTTTATTGTTTAAATAATAATCAAACTAAAAATATAACATTATATAGAATAGAATATAGAATTCAGAATTAAAAAAAAACTCAATATGCCTATGCGTTCTTCCTGACTATGTTCTATATCTGTGCCAAATTTATTCAAGATCCGTTGATCCGTTCTGGATATAAGTTGTAAAAACATCGATCCATCCAAAAAATTGCTTTTATAATATTAGTAAGAAGTAGTAAGTGTGTCTACTTAATAAATATCTCAAAAGAAATTTAAATAAACTTATTTTTTTGTCATGAAAAAAGCTTACACAACTTACCTGAGATGCAAGGATGGTTGTTGAGGAACTCCATCTTTGTTTTTTCTATGTGATCTTCCATATCGCGTTCTAGTGGTCCTTCGATAGCCTGGAAAATCGAAGCGCCTGGAGAGAAAAATTATTACATGAAGACCGTAATTATATTAAAAACCACATTTCTTAAAGCTATGCATTTCTTTTATTTATAAGAATACAGGGTTGTTTCCCCTTGGGTCGAAAATATATATTTCCATTGGAAATACAGTTTCCATTAGGCCGATTGATCGGCAGCCCTTTTGGTCCAACGGGAAAACATGTTTCGTTATAAAATTCACAACAAGTTTGTAATCATTAAAATTCCTATGACGTACAAAAACTGTTCAATTGGGATATTATTTCAAAAGATGTTTTGAAACAGTAGTATATTTCAATAACGCCTGAGGAATTAAGTCGCCCACGATTTGAACAACATAATTGTCGATGAAATTCGACAGGCGCTTTTGCGTAGGTAGCAAAATTGAGCAACGGAAAATAAATTACTGACTTATTTATAAACCTTTGAGTGGGCGCTTTTACCTTTAATTGTGTGTTATTTGACACTGGTTAAAGTAGCTTCTAGTTATTTGGAATTAATCAATAGCTAGATCAAAATAATTTATTCGATCATATTACTTTCTTATGTATATAAGACACTGAAATATATTAAGTTTATATAGATAATCTTCAAAAACAAAGCAGTTTTCTATAATTCCTACAATTTTAATATATTTATCTCTAACATTAACAAATTTGTTAAAACGTCAAGATCGCACTTGAAAAGAAATTCTATAATTTTTTTTCTTTCCATAAAATGATTTAGACGGATTAGCAGAGATTGAGCTTTCCAAGAATATTTAAGGGCTCCTTGAAAAAACATCGCTATATTAATTCCTTTGAAAAGTTGCCTATATTTTTTTCTTTCATAAATAACAACAAAAATATATTTTTGCTATATAATACGCGTCTATGTACCGGTATAAATTATCGTTTTGAAGGATCTCCAATACAGTATCGTGAATCGATGATGGGAAGGTTAGAGAGTAATGAACTTGTTTTCTGTAAGACTGAACATACCCATAGACAAATAGAGCGCCATGATGCCTGCGATCACCAGCAGCCGTATGTACGGCAAGGCGCGAGGGTCGCTGCAGCAGCCGGGAACGATCAGCCTCATTTCTGCAAACAAATATGTTATAATTATTTTTTTAATAAACAAAATTCATCAAAGGCACAACCCTTCATCTTAAAACTGTTTAAGGTGTTCGATGAATCATTCATGTTTTTAAAATAAGACATTGGTACATTAGTTTTAGTGTTAGTAGTTGCAGATCGTGTGAAATTAAATTTGCAATATCCTAAATACTTGTACTTTCATCTCTTTTATATTTATCATTAAGCTGAACGTTTTTAAACAATATCGTGTAAATATAGTCCCATACAAATATACGATGGAGTTATTAAATTATACGCGTAGTCACGCGTCTCTGATATAAGTAGATTTGCAGAGAGCGGCGCCATATTTAATTACGATCCTTGTCGCGCCATCGTCGCTGCGAGACATCGATAATTATTAAAAGCATTCATTAAATTTTAATGGAGCGGCTTATCGAAGTGGTTTCGGCATAGTTTCATACTAAATCTTAGATAATATACCTTCTGATAAAGTTTGCGGTTTTGATAGAATTCTATAGTGTTAATTACCAAACGTAATAATGAAACTACGCATGTACTGTGAGGCTTAAAAGACCTTTTATCAAAGAGTATAAATACTACTTAAATCAGAACTATCTCTTTGAATAACCAAAATATTTTTGAATCCTCTTGCCACAATTTAAACGTTAAAGGCATTTTTATTATACTAATAATCGCCTGCGACTCCGACAGTATGTATATACTAGGCGATTGTCAGACTTCTTGTCAAAATTTAATGAACATCGCTCAAGCCGGAGGAGTATGGTCACTAACATTGTAACACGAGAATTTAACATATAAGATAATAGTCCTCTCAGATCATTTCATTAAACAATGCAACAGTCGAATTATTTAATTATTTAAAAGTGCTAGCGGATACGGGTTATGTGATTGAAACGAAACAATAGAATCCATTACTGTTTAGTTCTACGTTCCTTTTTACCCGCGAGTCTGTATCCATTATGCGAATGGCTCTGAAAGCTCATATTACATATATATGTATGTTATATGTACAAAACTGTTTGTCCGTATTAAAAAGAAATAATTCGTGGTTCAAATTGAGTTGGTAATATGGTTGTGCTTTTGACAATAATGAAAAAAAAAACGTACTTATTGTTTAGAAGCAAAAAAAAATCTTTTGTATATGTACGTTGTACTTGAAAGGTTTCTTTAAAACATATTGATGTCATAATATTTCATTATCAGATACGTTTTTTTTAAATTTCTAAGAAAAAATTATTCGCCCGACATTTACTCGTCCCCGTTTTAAATATAGATTTGTTTTTCACGTTTATTTTCACATTTGGTTCGTCTTTTAGACGGACATTTTGATAAGATATAACGGTACATCAAGTTTAATGTAGAATTCAACCTAT